ATCAACTTGAACATCTATATTACGCAGATCCAACAAAATAGAGTTAAGTTGTTCGAGATGTTCCCTCAAAAGGCGTACCTTCTTGCATCCTCAAGCTGAACAACCGTTGCTTGAGATGCAGCTTGTTGGTTAGAGACTTAGTCATATACAGACTCTCTAGTTTCAACCACAAGCCCGCGGCAGTCTTCTCAGCAGCGACTTCAATGATGACGTCATCAGACAACGATAGCATGATGGTCGAGTGGGCCTTCTCCTCCAGGGTATTCCACTCATCGTCATCGACCGCTGCCTTCTTCTGTTTCGCAGACAGCGGCCCCCACAGCCCTTGCTGTTTTAATAAAGCCTGCATCTTGATCTGCCATATAGCGAAGCTGTTCTTCCCCGTGAACTTTTCGATCTTCATGTTCACCGACGTCATTCTTCTAAATCGAAAACCCTAGCCTGATTTCCAGCCGCGGCTCTGATACCACTTGTTATAAACGCGCTGCTACGGATCGGGAAATCGCCGGGATCGACAAAGCAAGAATACGAAAGCGAGAATCGAAAACACGACACACGATTTACGTGGTTCACTAACACGATGTGTGTTAGCTACGTCCACGGGCGAGAGAGAGCCGATTTCACTATACTGAGGAGATTACAGATTACAGAGGAGTATGAGAAGTATTTATAGTACTTCTCCATGTGGGTCTAAACCTAATCCAATCTAGCAAAGGAAACGGTTACAGACCAGGCCCAGAACCCGAACCCAAATAACATCGAGCCCCCGGTTACCAGTCGTAGCGGCTGATAATCCGATTCAAGTCATATCAACAAAGAGCGAAGACAGGCGCTATATATCCTTCTTCCCCAAATCGAAAAAGGGAGGGATTGGTAGTAGCAAAGCAGACACTAAGCACATGTTATAATGAAATCTTTTTCCCTATAGAGACCCAAAAAAAGATTTGACCCTGCAACTCCAATTGATTCAACAACTGGAGAGAAGCCGCCATGACCTCAAGTAATTCGGCGCCAGCCGCGGCGGCGGATTGTTGAGAGAGCGGCAGCGGCGGCTGCTGTTGGCAAAGAGATCGTGATGCTCCCCGACGATCTAGAAGCAGCAACCGTCGGAAGCAGGGCCGAGAGATCGTCATCTCCGCTTCCCCGTTGATGGAACGCATGGCCGGAACATAAAGAAGAAAGAGGAAGAAACAGAGTAGATGGCGGCGAAGTGGGAGCGCCGAAGGAAAGGGGAAGGCTACGCAGGTGGGCTACCTTTTCTTTGAAGGGTCACTTCTTTCACTAATATGTATATTAGTTATTGTTTTTATGAAAATAAAATATTTGTTAGATTTTATGACATGGAAATGATAAATGATTACTTTTATTACTTTTAACTGACACATAAGCTTTTTAACGGTCAAACATAACTGTTGACCACCACCTAGGACAAAGTTAACGGAACTAGACAGTGAGTGACGAAGGATGACATAAATGTGTAATATCAATGGCCAAATTGAAAGGAAAGTGATTCGAGTGGCTAACGTGTAGCAAATAAGCAATATGAGTGACCAAATTTGCAATTCACCCTATTTTGGGGTTTGGTGCACAATAATATTCAATCGTGCGCTCTATTAGTTTAACCCTATATATCTTACTGTACTCAAACGATAATTAATAAATGATGAAGCAATCGAGTCAATTTGGCCCTATTCATCCATATATATAATCACACAACGGACGGTGAATATATATGTATTTGTTTACTTCATCTGCCTGGAAAAAATCATTAGTATATTATTGTTATTATTCTGATTAGAATATGGAATGAGAAGTGTGACTTTTTGAGGCACGAGACCATGAGATGTAGAAATTAGATGATCAAACATTTGGAGGGAGCAAATAGCAGAGCATAGGTTGATGTGTGTGTTGGAGGAAAGCCCAAAACCCAACTTTGTTTTGTTTTATTTTGCCAAACCAAAGCTAAAAGTCATTGGTTGGTGGGATGTGTAGATGGGTGAGCCTTGGGAGTCGGATGTTGGAGCATGGGATTCCTCGTTCATCATTCAATTTAAACTCGTTTACCGTTACGATTCTTACTAAAAAAAATTATCTGAAAGATTTTATGAAACAATACTACATATTCCAAATGCTGTGATTGATGTATGATTATAGGTTGTCAAATCTGTTTAAGTCATTGAGTCGGTCAAATAAGGAGTTTGAGATTTAATGGTTTGATTGGGGTCTGGCCAGTTTGAAGCGTTATAGACGTTTTCTAAATATATATACAAATAAGATAGTAATTAAAGATTTAATGACCGAAATAAAATATATCTTACATATATCTATTAGAAATTTATTTTTCACAAAATAAATCTACCTAACCTCCATGACCCACCCACCATCTCCCTTCCTTCGTTTCTTTCCTCTCTTCCACCTCTCTTCTTCCCCCTCTTTAGGGGTCAGACCGGGGAACTTTCTGGAGGCCGTTTTGAAGCTCGACTCGAGTCAGATCGGGTCCAACCGAGAGTTCGATAAGGTTTAACAACCTTGGATTATCTAGATCGAGCACACAATTTCAATAAATCTAATTGAAAACGACATTATGAGTATAATTTTCCCTTCACATTTCTCTTTTATCCCAACAACAATGCATTTAATAAGTTTAATCGCAATTGCAATGGCAAGCCATTTGATGGTAATGAATGGTTAGAAGATTCGCCCACTCGCCATTCGTCGTAATCATATTGGAATCCATTGATTCTCGACATTCAAGCAATTTAAACTATCCAATGCTAGTAGTACCCAATGACAAGGTGAGGATGGTAAAATGAAGTGACTTTTTTTTTTTTGTAATTCGCCTTAATCATATCGCAATCCATTTCATTCTCAGCATTCACGCATTTTAACAATCCGATGCTCGTACCAACAACGACAAGGTGAGAGGATGGTAAAATGGAAGTGACTTTCTTGTCTCGATCTCCCCTTACTGCCTTGTAAGTTGTAACCCTTTCCATTCTCCCCATAGGATTCCTCCTTTCAGCAGCACACATATACATTAGGCACTAGCTAGCTAACCAGCACTGAGTGGGAAATGGGAAGGCGGGAACAAACAACTAGTGGAGAGGGCAGGGCATGCTTTCTATCTCCACAATTCTCATGCATGGAAATCTCTGCTCGGTAAAATGCCATGGATTTACTTTTCCCTTCTTTTTCACTGCTGCAGAAAGATAAAAAGAAGCTAAGCACATGACATGATTAAGCTTTTGATGCCACCTTTCCATGCAAACGAATCTTCCCCTTTAAATTGCACGGGAATTCTCATCATTCCCAACTCGATCGAGATCTCTGCCCGGCCGATGGGTATTTCGGTTAAAACAAAACCGAAAACAGAACATTCGAGATTACGATTTACAGTATACTTACATTAGTTAATTTTAGATTTCACAGACTGATTTACTTTAAGCTGACTGCAGGAATGTAGAATAATTCGATCCGTCTTTTCTGGGAGGCTTTTACTTTTGGACGAACTGCATGCAGCCGGTGGTTCATCGGCGGTGGCCCGCGGCCGGGTGGCTTTTGTTTATCGGCTTTTACACAGTATAGGTTCTGTAAAGTATTTGCCTTTGGCTTTGCAGTGTATTATGTCAAAGCGTCATGATGGAAATGGATATCCATGATCTCCATTCTCCTCTCCTCTTTTTTACCACGTTACTACGCGGAATGAGATCAATAATATAAAGCACCAATGGAAAAAAAAGGGTCTCTACTGCTTTGAAGTATGTAGCATGGAAATTAGCCACCATGCATTGAATTATAACAATGAATTGTTCACGTATACTATATTTTTTACAATACAAGTCACATATAGGAATCAAATTGAACAAAACGTCAAGAAGAAAAAAACACGACTCATGCATAAATCCCGTTGTCCGAGCCAATAGAATTCACTATTTCTCCTTAAGGGATTTAGTTCCCCTCTACGGTACCCAAGGTTATTGGAACTATTCCTCACAGGATAGAGCGAACGTACCTTTTCTGGCGTACCGGTACTTTGTTTTCTTTTAAGTGGTTGTAGAGAGGAAAATGAAATGAAAAAGAAAACTATTTTCTTTCTTTCGGTCGAAAAATCTTTTAGGAAAACCTGTGTATGAAAACAGAGGAGGAATGTGCTATTTATAGAAAATGGAGGGGTGTGAGTGAAGGGATGTGACTCTTCCGGTGGGTGGTTACACCCCCAACTAACATATTGGTTCACTTTCAAATAACGAACCATTGCATCGGTTCGACCCGTGGTAGTCGGACCGGTTGGTTCACTACAACCGCCATATTGGACCAGTTCAAATCGATTTGGTCCGGTTGGTTACACAAACCAATTTGACCAATTACCAAAAGATTTAATAAAATCAATTGACCGAATCCAAGCCCTCCTTCCCATATATTGTTTCTCTTGGCTCCTTCCCCTTTCATTCCCATTCACACCATTAAAAATCCCAACACATCGAACAACTCTATTAAGTTGAGGTTGCTCAACAACCATAGCCAGCAAGCTTAGTCATCTCGGATGCAAAAAGCCTGATGGGAATCCCTGCTTCTTGTTCTTGTAAAATAGAGGAAGATACATTCTTATTCTCTCTTACATGTCCCTCAAACTTATGAGTTTGAAATTTGAACACACGACCATTTTACTAAACCAACTCTAATACCATGTCATAAACCAGTTGGTTCTAATAACTCAAATTATTAAAATACCATTATTATTTATCTTATACATTCTCTGCATAGCAATCTTGACTCTTGAGTGCTTTCTTTGTTGATTATGTAAGACCTTTTCTCTGGGCTATAGGGGCCGTTGGATTGCACTAGTTGGGCTTTAGTTACACGAATCAACATTCATATGGATCCGTTATAGCCTAATGGACAAGATGCACCCTGTCCAAGGGTTTGCAGCTGGGCCCAAGCAGTTAAAGTGTTGGTCCAATATGACGCAAGCTAGGCCCAAGATCTGTGCTGCTGGTGTAGGCCCATCGGAGGAAAGGATACATACGCATATAAACCCTAGTCATTATAATCGCGAAGCTTAGGGTTTGCATCTTTGCAGAGTTTTAGGCAGCGGCTGCTTTAGCAGAAGCCAGAAGGAGCGAGAGAGAGCGCAGGACAACCTTCGTCGCCGTCACCATGGGTCGTATGCACAGTCGAGGGTGAGAAACTGAGAATCCCACCTTCATCGTTTGCTTCTTTTCGGTTGTTCAACTCTCTTGTAATCTGTGTGTGGATAGAAATACTGATCGGTGCATTTTTCTCGATTTCAGTAAGGGTATTTCTGCTTCTGCTCTGCCATACAAAAGAACCCCGCCGAGTTGGCTCAAGATCTCTTCTCAGGATGTGAGTCGATTTCCCTTGTGAATTCCCTTCTTTTTTTCTGTTCATTTCATGTTCTGTTGTGAATCTGCGTTTGAGCATTGTGTCTGTATTGAGCTGCGAGTGATTTGATGGGGTTGTTTGTTTCCAGGTCGAGGAGAACATCTGCAAGTTCGCCAAGAAGGGTCTGACTCCTTCCCAGATTGGCGTCATTCTTCGTGACTCTCATGGTATTGCTCAGGTCAGGAGTGTGACTGGCAGCAAGATCCTTCGTATTCTCAAGGCAAATGGTAATTTTCTCTGCTTTGTGGTTACGAAAGGGGATTATTAGTCTACTAGATTGCCTGATGTGTAGGATGAGTTGAATAGTTTGAAGACCCAGTCCTTAAAATAGAGCCATTAGTTGGTGTTGTGGAAACGTTAGAGACGTTAAGGTGACAATGAGCATATGCCTGAATTTGGCAGGTTATCTGTGGTGGTAGAGAAATTGGGCGGCAGACCGAGTTTAATGCTTTCCATTTTACTGTAATGACAGATTATTTGTGGTTTCTATTGACATTGGTTTTCCATGGTCTTTCTTTTAATGTAGGGCTGGCCCCTGAAATCCCCGAGGATCTTTACCACCTGATCAAGAAGGCTGTTGCCATCAGGAAGCATTTGGAGAGGAACAGGAAGGACAAGGACTCCAAGTTCCGCCTGATTCTTGTCGAGAGTAGAATTCACAGGCTTGCCCGTTACTACAAGAAGACAAAGAAGCTTCCCCCAGTCTGGAAATAGTAAGTGGTTTGTTTGAAAAGTGCTTATTCTTGTAACAGTATGGTTAGCTTGCAGTTTACGGTCAGTATATATAATAGTATTTAGATGCCATCATAGATTATAGTGTGAATGACTGTAATCTATAGGTAGACGTTGCCTAGATATAGCATGTCTTTCCCCTAGTTAGTTATCAATGCTCCATTGAAGTTTGATTTGTGTGTTGCACTGCACTTTTTAATTTCTATCATAGTTTTACCCTCTGAATCCAGCTCTAGTATTGGTAGATTTGTAATGTCGCTTTCTTCTTCTACTAGAACAAGTTTGGATATGCTTGGTGAATTTTTCTTCCTTAATCGTCCCATAATCGTCATTGGGTACTGTTCTTTATTTAATAGCGACTGACACAAGTTACCTTCTTGCAGCGAGTCAACCACTGCTAGCACTCTCGTGGCTTAGGCAATCCATGTTTGCCCTCAAAGTTTTGCTGAAGGGGTGCTTTCTCGTCGAGTCTTCTTCGATCAGGGGAAGGGAAGAGTAATCTTGAGAGCCATGAACTCCTTTTTTGGGTTTGATGTTAGATTGGATTTAATTTGTCTTTTCGGTTGAATGTACCCTGTGGCTCCGAAGTTTTAGAAAACAAATTATTATCCAAAGCGGTTGGTACTTTTTAATCATGTCGAGTTGTAGAACCAATTAAATTCTGCATTTCTTGTTTAGTTGTTTGTGTGTATTCCCATATTATGCAGTCTCTCTGATCCCTGCCCCGGGCGATAATGCTCGATTGCTCCTCTCTTCGTGGATGATTTGGTTACTTCTTTCATGTCTCTTGTTGATTGGTTTAACACATTGTTTCATGGTTCTATTTGTTGGAGATGATAAAATCCGTAATGCAGTGATACCCCTGAATTGATAAATGAAGAGCTTGGTGTAGTGTTGCTTAATGCAAACTTGTAGATCATGGTTCTTCTGTACCTTCGTCTAATGCTTTTTTCCCCCCCACATTGGGAATACTATGAGTGATCTTGTTTTCAACTTCCAACGTCAATGGAGGCGGTGAACTTCTATTACAATACGTGAATAACTCAGAACCTTTTAAATTCTTCTGGTGCTATTGTCTAGGAGGATGTAAATGTCAATGGAGCGGTAAATTGTTTGTCCAATGAGTGAATGTCTCAAACCTTTCAATTCTTCCTGGTGCTTACGTCTTGGAAGACTTTAAAACACTGGGTAAAATATCCCGGCACCACTAAAGTTTGAGAATTGGGTCAAATACACCACTTAAGTTTGAATAGGGCGTCGGGTACCATTAAAGTCACCAAAATGTGCATCCGTCTAGTTTTCCATCCAACCCAAAATTTTAATTACTTTTTGGTACCCAAAACTTTTAAAAATATTCAAAACTATATTTCAACAAATTTTATCTAATATAGAAATTAAAAAATCTTCTAAACATAATATTACTAAAATGACTAATCAAAATTTTCAATAAAATAGATAAATTAGTAAAAATAATAAACAAATATCAAGAAGAAGAATAAATATATAGAATATAATAATAAATATTTAAAATCAATATTAGAAGATCTATTTAAATCACTAATCCGATAAGAAGTAGCATTAAAAATAGTTAAAATAGAATCTAATCGATCATCAATATATCAAGACCAAAGAATGATAAATGGAACATAGTTAGAAAGAATTAAACATATTACAGTAATTGCAGAAAATTTAGGACGAAAATAGAACGAAAGTAACCAAGAAAAATATACAACATCCAGATGATGTACGAGAATTAAATATAACATCCTCATATTATTTATATCGATATAGAATTCATATGATATATTTGATTAAGCAAATTATTCGATTATTATAACACATAATGGTAATTTAAAGTACTTATAATGATAATTGATTCTACATTTCCTATTCAAAAATTGGTTTGGTACCAAAATCTTAAAAAAAAAGAATAATTCAATTATTAGAAAACATAATGATAATTGAAAATACTTATAATAATAATTGATTTTAAATTTTCTATTCAAAAATTAATTTGGTATCAAGTTTTCAAAATAGGATACCAATTAAATAATAAAAATTGATGTTTTTCATAAGTCAAAAATGATTTTTTACAATAAGAAAAGTAGAAGGACTAATTAAGAAATTTAGAAAACAAAATATTCCAAGAATATTCTATTAACTTTAACGGAATGCACTTAACATTAAACTTAAGTGGTACCGGGTGCACAAATAATAGGGTTCAGTGGTACCCGACGCCCTATTCAAACTTAAGTGGTATGCATGCCCCAATTCTGAAATTTAAGTGGTATCCGAGGTATTTTACCTTCAAACACTCATTGCCTTCTATTTCGGCTCACATCATTAGTCTACCGCGATATGACTTGTTAGGAATACGTTGACTACCCCTCGTTGTTGAGGCGCTCCGGTGATTGGTTCACGATCCTTGGATTGCTAAGGATGTTCTTGCAGACTGTAGTGTTTTCTTAGTAGTGTGGCTTGTTTGAATGAATAACTCTTTGCGCTGAAGAGACGAGACCTGGAGCTGTTCTTACAAAGAGTGTGCCCAGTATACTATTGGGCTTTCGTAGGCCCATTATCTCTTGCCGCCTGGCGCCTCCTGCGCTGGAAATCAGAGACATCAGAAGGCAGAATTTCCTTCCGCAAGCAAAAATTAAAAACCCTAGAGAAACCTCCGAACACCCCCCAAGTCAAGTCCGAGCAATCCTCTGAATCAAAAGAGTATACCAGAAGAAGAAGACTGAGCTCAAAGAACCCAAAAATGGTTCCAGGGCTGAGACAATTCACCGACCGGACCGCCGAAGGTTCCGGCGTGCCGGTGCTCGACACTGAAAATGGGGAGGAGCTGAAGCACGTCCAGTCCGGCGTCGCCATTGTAATCGCCAATCGCTCACCGGAATCTCCTGGGACTCTCTACATTTCCTCCAGGTAATCCATTCGCATAGCAGTACTCTTCTTCGTTCTCAATGTCAGCACTTGGCAGCTACCCGTTTTACTTCTCCTCTCCTTGATTGTTTGTGGGGTTTTTTTTTTTTTTTTTGCAGGAAGGTGGTTTGGTTGAGCGATGTGGACAGGCAAAAGGGTTATGCTGTTGATTTCCTGGCCTTGTCACTCCACGCTGTGTCCAGAGATCCGGAATCTTTTCCTTCTCCCTGTATTTACACTCAGGTGAGCTTCTGAGTTCTCTATCTTCACGCTTCAATTGCAGTTTGAAAAGCTTCATATTTGTAAGTGTCAATGACTTGCAAGTTGTAATGTGAAATGTGCTAGTTTGGCATGCTTAGGGTTGCTTGAGTTAGCTCTTATCAACCAACATTGCTTCACTTTGTACTGTTATAGTTCATATCTGATTAGTTTGCAAGCTTCCTGCTTCTCTTGCTGATCGTTCATCGGCTTTTAAGAGCTTGTTTTCATGTAGGTAGTGATAATTTGTTTCACTAGGTGTGCATAATGAAGTACAGTACAATGGCATCCCTGATTTCACTGGTTAGCTGCGACTTATGGTGGTTATGCTTCTTGCTTGTTGGGGGAATGAAGTTTCTGACTTAACTTTTTTGCTTTGAAGATTGAGACAGAAGCTGATGATGATGAGTCGGATGAGTCGGATTCGGAGTGTCAAGAAACATTGGACTTATCTAAAGTCACAGAGATGAGGCTTGTTCCTTCTGACCCGAACCAATGTACTGTTCTTTTACATATTTCCTTTCCTTTCCTGTCCTTTTCATTGTTTTGTAGTAATTTTGATCTATCATCAGTTATGATGGAGTTTGTTGTTATCTTTTGCTGCAGTGGATACTCTGTTCCAGATATTCTGTGAGTGTGCTGAGCTCAATCCGGAACCAATTGAAGGTGGGTGCATTTCTTCTTCAGTCCCCTCGTTATACTTTCTGGTAGTTAGTGAAGCCTTGGTATCCCTAGCCCTCTGAATGCTTGCTTTTCGTTTCTCTCTCTCTCCAGAAGATGAAGGTTTTGGAGGCGGCAACTGGGTTTTCAGTGCTGACCAGTTGGCTGATAACGGCTCAGGTATTGTTATATAGCTGATGTCAATGGTCTCATTGGATCCAGTTTAAGGTCGCTTCTTTACAATTTGAACATCATATTTGAACATACTGATATATCTCCAGATGTGGAAGCCCCCGAATGGTTCTCCCCAATTCCAACGAGCTCCATTGGCCATTCAAATGGGGATCATGACATTGCCCGTACCGTGCTTGAGGTGAGCTTTTCCGCAACCTGCTAACCGCAGTTTAGATAAGTTTGATAAGATCCTCTTACAGCTCGATCTCTCATGTTATTGGAAACTTCTTCTTCTTGTTGTTGTGTGTGAATTCGCAGCTGCAAATCAATGACCAACGATTTGAAGATGCGGAAGAGATGGAACGTGAAAACGAGAATAGCCATAACTAACTTCTTTGAACAATGGTTGCATGTTGTAGTGTGCTTTTTAACAGCAATTCTACAACTTAAAGGCTCTCTCAGTAGTTCCATGTAAATTTCAGACCCTGCATTTTGCTTTTGGATATGTAACCAGAGGGATAGAGCGGCAGAAGATGTCTCGGTATGTAACATTTTAGTGGGTGAAAAGAGTGTATCTGTAATGCCAGAGATTATGGCTAAATCTTACTGCAATCTCATAGGCATTGTGATTTTTCTCTTCTAGTCTTCACTTCCTGGCTCGGCAGCTCTACAAGTCAGGAGACTTTCGGTTCCCCTGAAACCGAACCAAAACCGATATGCGCAATGGTTAACCGAAATGGTTAAGAGTGTTGAGTTTCAATCGGAACCAAGACCCGATAAAACCCGAACTGATGACCAGAGTCCAGAGGCATCGTTTCTCTCTCTCATCGTCTCACAGAGCTCAATCTGTTTCTTCTCTGATCTCTCTACTTGCTGGCGATGAAACTTTCCCGATTTGCGGATTCAGTCGTGGAGATTCGCAGCTTTCTTTGCCGCCGGCCCCTGTTACTGTCCCTGCAAACCGGATTTTGAAACTAAACTAGAGTGTGGCGGAGCGTGAGCTAAGCGGGTAAGCTACTACTACTATAGTACAGTTGAGAGGAAATCAAGCAAGCAGCTGCTGATAATGAATCTCGTCGTGATTCTCTCGGCGTCCATCGCTCTCGGCCTCGCTGTTCTTTATCTTCCGCTTCTGAATCTCTCTCCGCCATTCGATTTCCGCCTCTCCTCGTCCAAGTCGGCGAACCAAGTACCCTTTGCAGAGCTGGTGCTGAAAAATGGAGTTATTTTCACCAGCGACCCTTCTCTACCTTTCGCGGATTCCATGGCGGTGAGAAACGGAAGGATTCTTGGGGTTGGAAACTACTCGTCCCTCCAGGGATTGATTGGGAACGATACCCAGGAGTTGAATCTTCAAGGGAAGGTTGTGGTTCCTGGGTTTATCGATTCTCATGTCCATTTCATTCCTGGCGGATTGCAGATGGCACGAGTCGAGCTGCGAGGTGTTAATCAGAAGGCAGAGTTCGTAAGCAGGGTGAAAGAGGCAGTCACTAAACTGCCACAGGGCTCCTGGGTTCTTGGTGGCGGATGGAACAATGATTTGTGGGGCGGAGAATTACCAATGGCGTCATGGATCGACGATTTCAGCAGAGAGAACCCTGTGTGGTTGACGAGGATGGATGGTCACATGGGGCTGGCCAATTCATTGGCACTAAAGTTGGCTGGCATCAGTAGTGATTCGTCAGAGGATCCAAATGGGGGAACTGTAATGAAAACTGCTCTTGGTGAGCCTACTGGACTGCTGATAGATGCTGCGATGAAACTCGTCGTCGCCTTGATTCCAGAGGTCTCTGTCACCGAAAGGAGGGAAGCTTTGCTCAGAGCTACAGGTCTTGCCTTGAGGAGGGGTGTGACGACTGTTGTTGATTTCGGCAGATTCTTCCCTGGAGGATCACCAGAAGATCCTTGGGAGGACTTTGCAGATGTGTATCAGTGGGCTGATTATTCAGGAAAGTTGAGGACCAGGATGTGCTTGTTCTTCCCATTGGAGACATGGTCTCGAGTAGCTGATTTCGTCAAGAAATCGGGGCGTGCTTTGAGTGATTGGGTTTATCTGGGTGGTGTTAAGGCTTTTGCTGATGGCTCTCTAGGTTCAAACAGTGCACTATTCCACGAGCCCTATTTTGACGAGCCTCAAAATTATGGCCTTCAGTTGATAGACATGGAGAGGCTTTTCAACATGACTGCAGCTGCAGATAAACTTGGACTGCAGGTTGCCGTTCATGCCATTGGTGATAAAGCGAACGACATGGTCCTGGAGGTGTATGATTCTGTTGTATCAGCAAATGGAAAGAGAGACAGAAGATTCAGGATCGAGCATGCTCAGCATTTGGCACCTGGAACGGTCAATCTATTTGGCGAACGACAGGTTTTCGCTTCGGTGCAGCCGGATCACCTACTCGACGATGCTGGCACTGCTGCCAAAAAACTTGGGACAGAGAGGGCTATGAGAGGGTCTTACCTATTTCATTCCCTCCTGGCTAGCAATGCACAACTAGCACTGGGATCCGATTGGCCTGTCGCAAACATAAATCCGTTAGGAAGCATCAGAACAGCAATGAAAAGAGTGCCTCCTGACTGGGGGAGTGCTTGGAATCCAGCTGAGTGCCTCTCCCTAACTGATTCCTTGATTGCGCACACTATATCAGCAGCTCGAGCATGCTTCCTCGAAGACAAGTTGGGATCTTTGTCACCTGGGAAATTTGCCGATTTCGTGATACTCTCCATCGATTCATGGGATGACTTCGCGGCAGAAGGGTCTGCTTCGGTTGAGGCAACATACATTGATGGAGTGAAGGCCTATCCCTAGAACTGAGAGATCACATTTGCTTGCAAGCAAACTTAGGCTATCTCCTTTCCAACTGTAGCAGCCACTTTGAAGCAAAACTGGCGTTGCTTGCTGACTACCTTCTTTGCCTATGAATATTTCGTAGTATGGGGAGCGAATATTAGAGAAGTGTCTGTAAAAAGTATTAGAAAATGTCAAAGTGTTGGACGCCTGGCTTAGAACTTGGCTAGCAATAAGAACACATTATTGGTTCAGCTTTGGGTTACGGAAAAAGAACAATGAAATCCAATTTCCCAGGCCTAAATACGACTCAGTAGAGGTTACACACTTACACTAGCTAGCTATGAAATGAGTAGAAGTAATAACGTAACTGAGATATGGTCATATGAATAGAGCATTTCTAATCTGAACCAAACACCTAATTAAAAGTCCCCACCTTGCAAGCGTAAGGTTCTAAACTTGGAGCATCTATTGCAGATTCAACATTCAACTAAAGTAACAGATAACTTGTGAAGCAAAATTCTCTTTTCTGCATTAACAGAATCTCTCGAAATGAAAAACAACAGCAGGTACACAGCTCGTAATACAATAGCCTCTAAGCAGTATTGACTGGAACATAGGATTCAATAACATGTAAACATCCACACCCTCCCAACTCGGACTGACCGGTACTAGAATAAACTACTGTAGAAGCCAAAACACGAAGGATCCATGACAGCCAAACGGAGGACATCCTCAAGCATCAGCGATTGTGACTTCCACCTCAACACCTGGCTCAATGGTGATGGAGGTAATCTGCTTCACCACCTCAGGGGAACTGAACAGGTCAATGATGCGCTTGTGAACACGGAGCTCAAATCTGTCAAAGGTGTTGGTTCCTGAACAAAACGTTCACATGCAAAATGGAGAATTCAGTTAGAGATGGAGGTGACAATATCAACTATCCCAACCAATTTTACAGCCTATCTTATCCAAGCCCCTTTGATGTATAACCATTCGGTTGACAAGTACACGACTTTAACAATCAAGGCATGAATCCTAGTAGTACAACGGGCAAATTGAGGATTTCCCCCAGGGTAAGATGACAAAACTACTTGTTGAAATATGGGAGCATCTTCGAATTTAATTAAATTACACCAGAGTTGCAGATGCACACAATAGTGTCTGAGGATCGAGATTGACAAATCATGCCTACCGCGCATAAGCAGGTTACAACATCTAGCACACCAAGCATTACTTCATACTGCTAAACAAATCTCCATCTCGCAAAGAATACGGTCCCAACATTAATTTTACACGCACAAGAGATGGTTCTATATCCCAATGAATTGAGCCAACCATAACAGTCCTGCACATTCTTATTCATACCCGGAATTCTAACAGCACTACAAAGAGCTTAGTACTTGCTCAATCCATTTCATAAGGAATATAAATTCAGCAAGAAACCGAAATGGTCGAATGAGTTTACCTTCACCACAAGGAGACTTCCTGGTAGTAATAAGAAGAGTCTTGGTGGGCATTCTCACCGGACCCTTAACTCTCAACCTCTTGTCCTTGGCACCGCGAATCAAATCACCGCAAACTGCAAATCAGGGTTAAGAAAAACGATTCAAAAACCAAACACAGAATCCCTTAATTTACCCATCCCCATACGCAATCACACAGAGAACCAGAAAGCCAGCTGATTCAGTCAAGAACCGAAATAGAACAAACAAACAGACCTTTCTCGAGGTTCTTCACGTTCTTGGAGGAAAGAGTGATCCTGATCTTGTGAGTTTGCTCTTGTGGCTCCTCAATCCCAGCCTTTGCAGGCTTAATCGCAGCATATGTCGCCATTTTGGTCCTTAGCCTGCCGTCAGAAGACACCAAGAACAAGAACTGTTATCAAAATCACATTTTTTGGAAGAAACTTGTTCCAAATACAGCTCCAAAGTGCAGTGGATCAAGAAGAAGTTATATTTTGAGAGCTTCACCTTCGTTAGGTCGGCGCCCAGGATGCAGATGGCTTAGAGTGGCGGCTTCTCGCTCCTCTTTCTGCTAACGATGGAAGAAGAGGGCGACGAAGAATTGGGAATCTTATAACTAGGTTAGGGTTTTTTCTCCGCCGAGTTAATAACTTCGTGGGCTTAATCCGCTTTGGCCCAGTATCTCCTTTTGGGGTATAGATAGTAGGAATTGTGGACTCGTATAATTCATCGAGCTTGTTTGGCCCGGTAATGCTGGCAAATAATCAATTTCGGTGTGTATAGAATAGGGGTGTGCAACGGTTTGGTCCGGTGATGAGAACAGTGGTTTATTTGTGAAAGATATATTAGAACTAAAGATCGGACCATTTTTGCATTCGGTCCATTTGGTTAGGTCCAATTATTAATTCGGTCCATGTTTTCTTAAGTAATTATCAAATTCATAAGACCAAAGATCAGATCGTATTATGCTCGATTCGGTACGATCAAGTCCAAACACCGGTTTGGTATAGTGCTGTCCAGTATGAGACCGGACCATTGCCCATCCCTTGTATAGACTAGGGGTGTTCAAATGGTTACCATGGTAATAACCAAACCAAATAAGTCTAAAATCTATTAACCATGGAATACAATATCATAACCAAACCGTCCAAACTAATACAACAACCAAATTAACCAAACTAAAGTTTATTCGGTTTGGTTAATTGGTTAACCAAAATAACCAATATAACACCACATTATCATTAAGTGAGAAAAATTTTCAGTTAGTGCATCAATTTGCAGTTTATATAATGAACAACACATAATAATACACATAATTTCAGTTAACCCTTAACGTAATACATGTAACAAATACAATTATCTTACATTTGACTCTTGACTCTTGAGTGGTTATGCAAAGTATTAAGTATGTGTATATAATATATATTAGATAGATGACAAATTACCTAACTGGTTAATTTGGTTTGATTGGTTAGGAGTGCCTGAAATCAAACCAAATCATCTAAACCAAACAAGCTAAATTTTTTAATCAAACCAAACCAATTATCGAAATTAGCCAAATACTACTAATTAAAATGGTTACCACGGTAACCACACCGTTTGAACACCCCTAATGGAGGTTGTGTCTTGGCTTTAACGAGTAAGAGAATAATATTAACTCTTCATTTTTCTTCTAAATTGACAACTAATAAGTGTTAAAATGAAGAAACAAGTTTTCTATAAGATTATGATTACTATTGTCAGGCCAAAATGGTCAACTTTGTGACTCAGATTGTGGTAATCTGGAATTTACATATAATTAAGTGCAAGTCGCATGAGGTTTCACAAACACCCTTTCAAAGTAAATGTTATAATAAGCTAGCTAGCTGCACTTAGAAATACGATAAATGCCTCATAACTGTACAAAGTGGCCGATTCCTACTCATACCATCGAGCAAGATAATTAGTTTGCGTAAAAATAATTGTAGCTAAAATATAGAATAATAATAGTAAAATTCTAGTAGTTTGCATAAAATTACACGTGATTTAGACCAAAACGGGTCAGAATGAGGCAGGTCAGATAGAGAAGATTACCCATAACCCGCCCCACCTATTTGGTCCAAAACAAGTCAAACAGGTCTAATAAAACGGATTAAATAAGTCGAAACTGTCATCCCTGCATGCAAGAGTAAGTACACGTAATAGTTCACCCAAACAAAAGAAACTACCTAGATTGAAAAGGACACCCCGTTCTAACAAAAAAAAAAAAATCACATTATCTTCCATCATCAATTATCTGTATCAGAAAACCCAGCCAACGAAACTCGATTCGGAGCATAATCCCATATAACCCTAATTTCCTTCGAATCTGTTCGAACCTCGAGGCCAACAACGTCTCGAGTCTCAGGATCGAACATCAGAACCTCTCCCCCACGAACCGACCACTTCTCCTCCTTCTTCTTCACGAACACACACTTCCAGTCCTTCCACAACCCTAAAGGTCGAGACTTATAGTAATCCCACCCGTCACTCCCCCTAGGTACACCATACAACTTGACCCACGAAGCCGCCTCTCCCAACTTCAACATCACCCATATCTCAAGCATGGCGGCATGCGGCATCATCTGCCCGCCGTCGAAAACAACCACCATCGAGCCTCTCACGAAGCTGACGTGGCGAGGGCGCGTGACCTTGTACCAGTAAGCAGGCCACTTCTCCGCCAAAGGATCTAAAACCTCGACCACCTCGAACGTTTCCTTTGCTAAGTCGAAAGAGAGGACCCTTGTCCTCTTCCTCTCTTCGTTACAGTCTTGTCTATCCCAACGGTAGCACTTCCCGTCGTGGCTTTCGAGGACCGAGTTCGCAGTGTACAAGAACCGGCAGAGGTCGACGTCGGTCTCGACCTTGCTCCACGAATCGTTCCTCAAGCTGTAGACTTCCGCGAAACTGACGCCCTCGTCGTTACGGCCGTCCTTGACCTTTCTCAGCCTGATGAGCTTGTAGTCGTTTGCTTTCGAGTCGAAACCAAACATGTGGCCACAAGAGCGGCCGCAATATTCCGTCGAGGTAAATGGCGATGGCGGTAATGCTTTGGTCTCCGAGGTCGCCGGGTTGTGTAGATGGAAAACTGAAAAATTAATTAGTTTCCTAACTATCAGTCAAATTGCCAGAAGAAGTAATGATATGATCAAGAAAGAAGGTCGTTTAGACTTAGATACAAGGACATAGTAGTGGAGCCAAAAATATATGTAATGTGGTCTAGTGGTCTAGGGCTACAATCGATGATTCGAGTTTCCTCTATTGAGTTCGGCTTATTTATAAATTGTTCAGCTCGAACTCAAATAGAGTATTTATGAAAGGTTAGCTCGATTGAAAACAATCCAGCTGAACCTTAGCCAAACTAAATCAAGCCAGCTTATAAGTTGAGTTCAACAAAACTATCATCAATAATCAAATGCTAGCTAATAATTAAGCTTGACAAGTCGAAGAAGGTCAAGTTAAAGTTTGGCTCGTTTGCTAACGAATTAGCTCGTTAGCCAACCATCAGATTGTCGAAAATGAGTATTTACCTATCCGAAAGTTGAGCTACTTGCGAGTTGCTCTATTCATTTTGCCGTCCTAAACGTTGGTGATAAAAAAATAAAAAGGTTCTCTAACTACAAAATTTATCTACCTATGTACTAGTATTCTCAGATTTGACAAAAATGAGCAAACATAATTAATGACCATCCTCAAAATATTTGACCTAAAAAATGGTGATGGTAAGATATGCGTACCGCCGGGATCATCTATCCCGTCCCCCAAACAAAAGATGCCGTTGTCGTACCCCACAACGTGACAGCGCAGGTCTTCGCCGGCGGCGGTGAAGAGGAGGAGGACCGGTTGCGGTGGATCGGCGGATAAGGGGCGGAGAGTGTCGTACGAGCAGGGAGAGAAGAGCGGCTTTTGATCACCGGTCAGACGGAATATCATGATCTGACGGCTGCCATCGCGATCGCCGTCTGTGACGAGAATCCGGCGGAGGAAAGCCGGGTCGGAGAGACGAGCGCGCCATGATTTGCACACGCAGCGGAGCACGGCAAGGGTGTAGGCGGCGGGGAGCTTCCTGAAGATTTCGATCACGAGGTCGGCGGGGAGTTTTGTGCTGGACAGGGTTAGGGTTAGAGTCGCCGCCGGTTGATCGGCGGCGGCGTTGTTCGATCTTTTGTTTGACATAATCTCTGTATTGTCTGGGTTTGGGAGGAAACCCTAAGCTTAGTGTAATTACGAAGCTAATCTCTTATAATAATTTATCTAATCTTCGGCCCAATTGGAGAGGCCCACAGTCCCTTCCTTTCTGGCCGAAAGACAGTTCTTTCTCCGCGGGTAATAATTTCCCGCCCTATTTTAACTCCATGATCTCACTCTTGGGCCTTGGCATGTAGGGTGTTCAAATGGTTACCGTGCTAATAACCAAACCAATTAAACGTAAATTTTATTAACCATGAAATAAAATGTCTTAACCAAACCGTTTAAATTAATACTAAAACCAAAATAACCAAAGTTTAATTGGTTTGGATAATCGGATTAACCAAATAACATAACATTACATGCAAACAATTATCCTGTTAATGAATAAAATATAACCATATGTTGTTACTATCATAAACTAGCGTTATATATAAGCAATGTTAATAAGACTAACCATCCATGATTATCATCATGGTTCGAGTTAATACATCATTCATCATCTCTGCACCTAATATAGTTAGCTTACAACAAACTCCTTAACATAAATACATACCAATACCATTCGTCAGAAAAGTTAAAGCTCTCCTACAAAACACTTAAATTATACCTAGTTTGAGGTGGTTGTCATGGTATTGTATGTAATTCTAAAGTCTATTAGCTGTCTAAAATGTTTTGGTTTAGTAAATAGGCAGGCCCATTTAATTTTTGACCCATAATGTTTTGGTTTGTTGTCCACATGGAAATAAACTAGCGAATCACGAAAGTTTGGTTTGATTGGTTGCATGGAAGTATAAATAATTCTGTATGTTAGGTGTATCATTAATTGGTTAATTGATTTCATTGGTTAGCAGTGTTGAAACCAAACCAAACCACCTAAACCAAATAAGCTAAATTGTTTAACCAAACCAAACCAATTATCCAAATTAACCAAACCAAATTAACCGAATGCTAGCAGTTAATATGGTTACCAGTTACCACGGTAACCAATCCGTTTGAACACCCCTAGTATAGACTATAGAGGAGGCTTACATGGGTTGAGTGAGCAGGGTTCGAAATTGAAACCATTTTAATTTTTAACCATTCAAATCGATGATGACAATATCAAATCCATGCCCACTAAAATGAAAATATTAAAATCCATAACCAATACAAAACCCACTAGATTCTCACTTCATGCACCCCACACTATCAAGGGCGATTAGTTTTGGTCGGCTTTTTGGGCGGGTTGATTTGAGATTGAGTTAGTTTTGTTAAGCCATAATGCATTTACTAAAAAAATCACTACTCATTAATCAGGCAAGGGATGACCGGTTAGAAACGAAAAAAAAAAAAACGGTTACTGAATCTGGAGCCAAGTCGCGGGTTAGATCGCCTTCTTTAAAACGTTCGCGGCACTGCTTTCGTTGCGCACGAAAAACTATCAATCGGTCGCCTCTAGTATAAAATATCTCCTCTTGGGTGCTCGGCGATTTTGTGCGAAAATCGAAGTTCTTTGAACACTCTCGCACTCGTGTTTATGCTCTTTGGGAGACGACTATTTATAGGAGCTGAAACATCGAAGAATATACCTTTGACTTGGGTAATAAGTCGTGTTAATTGGAAGATAATTACATCTTTAATTAAACCACGTTGGTAAGATAATTCTTGGCCGAATTATCTCTCGAATATTCTATTGAGTTAATTATCTTCACATCGGTTAAGGACAAAAAAAAAATTAATTTGGAATTTATATAAAAAATATAAGTTAGTTCCCCGTCGACTGGGATACCGAAATTATTTAGGGATTGGGATTGGGATTGATTTCATGGTGTAATTCGGTATTCGGGATTTCGGTATTTGGTATTGGGATACCGATACCGTACCGATTTCCACCCCTACTTGTATTAGTATAGACTATGGAGGAGGCTTACGTTGGTTGAGATAGTCGGATTTGAAATTGAAACCATTTTAATTTTTAACCATTCAAATCGACGATGACAATATCAAACCCATACTCACTAAAATGAAAATATTCAATTCCATAACCAATCGAAAACCCACTAGTTTCTCACTCCATGCACCTCACACTATCCAGGGCGATTAGTTTTGGTCAGTTTTTCTGGGTGGAATGATTTGGGATTGAGTTAGTGTTGTTAAGCCATAGTGCATTTACTAAAAAAATTGATAATCATTAATAAGGTAAGGGATGACCTGTTAGAAATGGAACAACAAAAAGAACGGTTACCGAATATGGAGCTAAGTCGAGAACTAGGTCGCTTTCTTTAAAACGTTTGCTGTATTGCTTTCGTTGTGCACGACATAATATCAATCGGCCGCCTCCAGGATAAAACAGCTCCTATTGGGTGCTCGGCGGTTTTGTGCGAAAACCGGAGTTCTTTGAACACCCTCTTTGGCACACTAGTTTATTACTTCATGCACCCCACCCTATCAAGGGCGATTAGTTTGGTCGGTTTTTCTGGGCGGTTGATTCTGGATTGAGTTAGTTTTGTTAAGCCATAATTCATTTACTAAAAAAATTGCTAATCATTAACCAGACAAGGGACGACCTGTTAGAAACGACACAACAAAAAGAACAGTTACGAATATGGAGTTAAATCGCGAACTAAGTCGCTTTCTTTAAGACGTTTCCAACACTGCGTTTGTTGCGCACGATAGACCATCAATTGGTTGCCTCCAGGATAAAACATCTCCTCTTGGGTGCTCGACGGTTTTATGCAAAAACTGGAGCTCTTTGAACACTCTCTCGCTCGTGTTTATGCTCTTTGGTGGTGTGTCTAGAAGGGTTTGGGAGACGACTATTTATAAGAGCTAGAACCTCGAAGAATATACCCTCTAACTTGGGTAATAAGTCATGTTAATTAGGAAGATAATTACTTTCTTAATTAAACCGGGTCGATAAGATAATTCCTGGCCAAATTATCTCTCCAATATTCTATTGAGTTGATTATCTTCGCATCGGTTAAAGATAAAAATAATTAATTAATTCAAATTTTCTCTATAAAATATAAGTCAGTCTTCGGTCGACCCACCCACTCGGGCGGACGGCGTGTGCGCGTCTGTGTGTAGTAGTCCGTTAGATCCTCCCTCTCCCTCAAAAGTGGGTCACCCTAAGAAACATACCCTTAAGTGAGATAATCTACTAATATTTATACCACTTTGTTAGGAATTCTTTCACCAATATGATATTCTATTCTTAGCTCCTATAGCTTTCAAAAACTATTCACTTATTTCCAACATGACTGAAGTCGAACATAAGAATGCCATAACAAATGCATGTTAAGACATCGATTTATGAAGCTCTATATTGGTCCCTCAATTCTAAATGTACCCAAAGATAAATCCTTTTGAAAGACTCAAATAGGATGGTGCTTATATTATATGAGTACCAAAAAAGCATAGTAGATAGACTTATTTGAGGAACTAATATTACGATTTGTATAAAAAAGCATTGTATGAATGCGGTAACGACGGGTATATTTCAGGAGTATAGTATATTTCAGGTGATATGGTTGATAGATGTATTTAGATAAGCTCCGATCAATCTCAACGGTTAATTATTTTTTTATAATAAATTGAACTTTGAGCTTGGATCTAGGGAATCGCGGCCTGAAGTTTATCCATAAGAGATTAGAGTATAGTATAATACCCTAAACTCGTTTAAAATCATAATATAGACAGAGATATCTCACTAAGAGAATCTAGAATATAATATACTCTAGGAGTACACTAGTTTGACCCGTATGAATACATGCATCAAGCATAATAGTTAATAATTGTACTTTTGGGTTGGAAATTTATTGACCCATTCCTGACCCGCTTATAAATGGTCAACTTATATAACTGAGCTATCCCACCCATGTTTCCTTGATCACCTTGTTTGGCCCACCAGTGTCGGGATGGGTCCGGTCAGTGGTTTGGTTCAAATCAATGCAGTGATTGTTTGAAAATTACATTTTGGTAACCAAATGTTTTTTCTTACAATTTAGTACCAAGTTTTATTTTTTACAAATAAGTATATAAGTTTGGGTGATAAAATTACATTTTGGTACCTTTAGATATTTTAACTTGCATTATAACACCTAAACTTATACAAAACAAACATTTCCAATGTATTGATATAAGAAATTTCATACATTAGTTGTGTTGTGGGTTTGTGGCTATGAATCACAGGGTCAGCTGTTGTTTAGGTCAAGCTCACACCCCAACCCTTTAGAGACATCCTACGGTTGATAATTGATAGAAATGAACATTCCAATTCAAGGACTTCTTCATCTTATCAGCTAGGTTTGATCAAGCTACAGATTGAATGGAGTCTGAGCGCGAATTCTTTTACAAGAAACAAAAGTTGCCTTCTTTATGGTTAGAAGAAATAAAGTCGAGTAGTCATAGGAATGACTTATACAGCAGTGACAGAAATAAAAACAGCCTCCGAAATTTTCATTAAGTCATAAAATTTCCGTCTAGTGTCTACCAATAGTAACTGGTTTCACCAAATCAGACACTGTTTTACCGCTCAATGTACATATTGGGCAGGAAGGGAAATACAGAAATATCACCTCTCTACTAAACTGATATCTCAAACAAAAAGGGGGAGTCCATGACAAACAGAAACCGAAAGAAGCATTTCTAAGCGTCAGCAATTGTGACTTCAACCTCAACACCAGGCTCGATGGTAATGGAGGTGATCTGTTTCACCACTTCTGGGGAGCTGAAGAGGTCGATGATGCGCTTATGCACACGAAGCTCGAATCTGTCGAACGTGTTGGTACCTAAAAAAGTGAGTACAATGCATACTGTAAGAGCCAATTCATCACACCATTAACACTTCACAATCACCAATTCATCACACCATCAACCTAATTTAAAAGCAAATCTTTAACCCAACCAGTTCAACATAGTTCCAAGTGTTAGAAACACAACGCATAGCAAAACTAGTTGGCCAGCAGCCTACAGTGATTTTCCCGGACCGAGTGAGATATTGGAAGCTTTTAAGGAAATATGGAACATAGAGACATTTCATCAAAACAAACCCTAGGTGGAGAGATACACAATAGCATGTAACCACTGATGCAACATCTCCCCCATAACTGGCTTCATCAGGGAAGTGAATTGAAATCTAGCCCGCTAAACAAATTTAGGGCATCAGAGCCACCTAGCATTTACTTTTTCATGAGAAATGAATTTCTACATCTCAATCAATTCACTACTTCACACCCACAAGGAGCATGTCCCAATGAATAATATGGCAGCCAATCTGTGCTATTCATTGTACTGGATACAGAATCCTAGCAGTACTACAGGGAAATCAGGACTTGACTAAAATTCACCTTATAAAGGAACATAAATTCAGTAGCAAGAAACCAAAAATGGTGCAATGATTTTACCTTCTCCACAAGGAGACTTCCTGGTAGTAATCAGAAGGGTCTTGGTGGGCATTCTCACTGGTCCCTTAACCCTCAACCTCTTGTCCTTTGCACCACGAATCAAGTCCCCGCAAACTGTAGATCAGAACCAACCAAAGATTCAGAAACCAAAGCTAAAACCTCTCAAATCTCAATCTACCCTAAACCCAACAAAAACCGCACACCGAAACCAAAGGGAAGCTGATGAAGCAGAAAACTTGAATGCCGAGATGCACAAGCGAACCTTTTTCGAGGTTCTTCACATTCTTGGAGGAAAGGGTGATCCTGATCTTGTGAGTCTGCTCTTGTGGCTCTTCCAATCCAGCCTTGGCCGGCTTAATCGCTGCGTAGGTCGCCATTTTCCGCCGCTCTGCGTATCTCCATTAACGCAGCAAGGATAAGAACCCACCACAGGAAATCCTATGATTTAAAATTAGCAAACATAATCAAAAGGGAGCATGAGCTGGCTGCATAGTTGCCCGCGACTTACAAGTGCTCAAGAAGGTTGATTCTCGCAGAAACAGAATTACGAGACGGAAAGACGGGGGCTTCAATCGCCTGAGCAAGGAGCAGCAACGGAGAAACGGTGTAATCGCCAAATCCAGTGATATATAATCTAGGGTTTTGTGGAGGGAAGGGGAGGAGTGTGCGCCAGATTGGGCTTGGTACTTTCTTTTAAATGGTCTGATAAACAAAAACTTGAGCCCATTTAAGCTATCTCATTGGGCTCAAAAGAATACTAGCAGGGGCAGGGGCTCCCGGGTCTTCATGGGCTGTAGCCTGTTGGGACATGGTTTGCGGAAGATGATCCTCGAAATTGAGTCACCTCACTCTTCTGCAGAAACTGCAAGGGAACGAGAAGGATACTACCAAATCTTGGAATATCAAACGGGAAGAACAAGTCTTTTGGACGAGGGAAGATGGCAGCAGGCAGAATGTCATTGGCAAGAGTCCTTTCATTAAAAAGGGTGGAAAGGGGTAAATGGGGAGGGAGAGTGGAGTCAAAGGAGCTTTGACTTCGATAATCTAATCAACGGCTTTCAGATACAGACATTTTTCTACCATTGGCAAGAGTCATTTCATTAAAAACAGTTCCTTTACCACAAACAGAACAAAGTGAGAATGAACCATTATGGAAAATAGGGACTTTTTTTTTCCAGGAATGAACACCCAAACCTTCCCTTGTTTCCCCCGGTAATGACAACACTGCAGCTATAACGAAGGAACTAAGAACAACACTTTCTGCACATTTTTTTAGCAATCTCAATGCGACATACATTCCTAACAATTAGTCAATTACTGAAGGTGAGGGATGGTAACACTCCCCTTTTACAGTTGATGTCAAAACCAAATGAACAAATGTGAGACATTGTAGAAAACCTTAGAAATGCACAGAGATTGATCGGAAACCCTCAAGAAGAAAGGTTTCCAGCTGCTGTTCCCATTTATACCGTTATACAGTAATTAGCTCTTTAGTTTAAACTGAGCTTGCCACGTGGCTCAACCTAACTGGTTCCCGCTAATCACTGTTAACAACTAAGAGCGGTAAATACAAAATAAGTAAAACGACTGCGTTCCTATTACAACTTCTTCAGAGACGTTTTCTGCGCTGGATACGTTTCGAATCTCCTCTGCAACTTCATTCTTCTTCTTCATCTTCTGGTTGCTGTGCAGCAGAAGGTCCAGCTTGATGATTGGATTCTGTCAGCCTCCCGCAAGCTGGAGCATATCGATTTTCAACATTCATCTTCTCAATCAACTCTTTGATGCGAAACCTGCTCAAAGGCTTAGTAAAGAGATCAGCTAACTGATCTTCAGTCTTAACATAGAACAGCTTAATCAAACCTGCTTTAACCCGCTCCCTTATCACATGAACATCAATCTCAATGTGTTTAGTCCTTTCATGAAACACAGGATTCTCTGCTATGTGAATAGCAGATCTATTGTCACAGAACACTGAGATAGGTAGCACAACTTCTACACTCAATTCAGCAAGCAAATTTTTCAACCATTGAACCTCACATCCAAGGTGTGCAAGTGCCCTGTACTCAGCCTCGGATGAGGACCTTGAAACAGTAGTTTGTTTCTTCGATTTCCATGTAATGAGAGAGCTTCCCAGGAATGTGCAGTATCCAGTAATGGATCTTCTCGAATCAGGGCAGCTAGCCCAATCTGAGTCACTATAACCAATCAACCTTAGAGTAGGTTCTGCCTTGAAGAAAATACCTTGTCCAGGTGATCCTTTGATGTATCTAAGAACTCTGAAAACAGCCTGTAAATGATCTGTGTATGGTTCTTTCTGAAACTGACTTAACTGCTGCATGGGAAATGTCAAGTCTGGTCTAGTTGTGGTGAGGTAATGTAACCTACCAATCAATCTTCTGTAGATTTCAGGATCATCAAGAGGCTTACCTTGCTTAGCCTTCAGCTTAACCTTAGGGTCCAGTGGTGATTTGCAATCTTTGGCATCCAAATAACCAGTATCTTCCAAGAGATCCAAGCAGTATTTTCTTTGACATACTGCAATACCTTCACTGTTCCTAGTGATTTCCAGCCCAAGGAAGTACTTCAAACTTCCCAAATCCTTGATTTTAAACTGTCTACTCAGAAACAGCTTCACTTCCTCTATATCCTTCTTATCTGCACCTCCAAGGATTATATCATCAACATACACTAACAACACAACAATTCTACCATGAACCCATTTAGTAAATAAAGAATAGTCTGAAGCAGACTGTGAAAAACCATTCTGCAGAAGTGAACTGGTAAGTTTGGCAAACCATTGCCTACTTGCCTGCTTAAGTCCATAAAGTGATTTTTTTAACTTACACACCAAATTATCCTTGCTGCCAGATCTGGGATCACCAGGAGGTAACTGCATATAAACTTCTTCTTCTAAATCTCCATGCAGAAATGCATTGGAGACATCCATTTGTTCAAGTACCCAACCTTTACTTGCTGCCACAGCTAACAAAGCCTTCACAGAATTGATCTTTGCCACAGGTGAGTAAGTATCTAAGAAATCAATGCCATGTATTTGTGTAAAACCTTTTGCAACTAACCGTGATTTACGCCTTTCAATCCTTCCATCAGGCCTCATTTTGATCTTATACACCCATTTACATCCTATTGCTCGTTTCCCCTTAGGTAGAGGAACCACTTCCCAAGTCTGATTCAGTTCCAGGGCTTCTCTTTCTTCATCCATGGACTTGTTCCATAATTCTGACTTAGCAGCTTCCTGGTAAGAAGAAGGTTCAACTTCAGCAATAAGACTGAGTGCATAGTGTTTATCCTTAGGTGCAAGTTGATCATATCCCAAGTAATCACTCATGGGATATCTGCTCACTGATCCAACATAGTAATCATCCAGTTTTGCAGGTAACTTGCCCCTATTGACCCTGATTGGTCTTCCTTCATATTCTGTCTGAACTTCCAGTTCTGGTTGTTCTTCAACATTCTCTCCATCATTAAAACCTGATAAATGCACATCCACATCATCCTGATCATCAGGACATGAATTGGTGTTGTTATCTGAATCATGTGCAATCTGGACATCATCAGCAGCAGGTACTGGATATGCCCCCCTTGAGGTCAGATTGTCTGAAGTGTTGGGTATAGAATAAGGTGCTAAAGGAATTGAAGGAGAAGGAATTGAAGGAGAAGGAGGAGGAGAATCTGAAATTGTCTTGAAGGGTAAAATGTCCTCATAAAAGGTGACATTACGAGAGATGAAAACATGATGATCATGTAAGTCAAACAGCTTATAGCCTTTGACACCAGAAGGAAATCCAAGGAAGATGGATTGGCGAGCACGAGGTTGGAATTTTGTTCTGCCTTGGGGAAGGGTAGTAGCATAGGAAAGGCAGCCAAATACACGCAAGTTTTGCAGCAAGGGAGGTCTGTTAAAGAGCATCTCAAAGGGGGACTTGTTTTGAAGGAGAGGAGTAGGCATTCGATTGATCAAATAAACAGAATGGAGTATGCAGTCACTCCAGAATTTCAAAGGAATGCCTGACTGAAAACGGAGAGCTCTAGCCACATTAAGAATGTGCTGATGCTTCCTCTCAACCCTGCCATTTTGCTGGGGAGTTTCAACACAGGAAGTCTGATGCTCAATGCCATGAATTCTATAAAACTCTGTCATATGGAACTCTTTACCCTGATCACTCCTTATTGTTTTAACCTGTTTTGCAAACTGAGTATTCACAAGTTGACAAAAACCTTGCAACAGTTCTCTAGTTTCAGCCTTAGAATGCATGAGATACACCCAGACAGCACGTGTATAGTCATCCACAATCGTCAAAAAGTAACTAAAACCATCATAAGATTTCACAGACAAGGGGCCCCAAATATCCACATGAATTAAAGCAAATGGTTCACTGGCAGAATGGTCACTAAGAGGAAAAGAAAGACGTTTTTGTTTAGACAGATGACAGATATCACAGTGAAGAACAAGATCACTGGTTACAATGGAGTTCTTATTCTTGACAAGCAAGTATCTATCTTTACTAGGGTGGCCTAAACGCCAGTGCCAAAGATTGACTTGATGTGGATTGAAGTTGTAAATGGTGGCAGCTTGATGTGAATGAGATGGTTCTGCAAAGGAAGGAGAGTTTGTGGTGGCTAGATGATAGAGACCTCTATGTTGGTTGGCCAAACCAATCCTCATCTTTGTCTGAAGGTCCTGAATTTCACAGATATTGGAATGAAAGTGTAAGGTGACTGGTAAATCATGGGTAAGCTTACTAACAGAGATGAGGTTGAAAGTAAAACTGGGAACTAATAGGACATTGTACAAGAATATCCCATTAGGCAATTTGATGGTACCTATGTGACTAACAGGAACTTTAGAACTGTTAGGTAAGAAGACATGGGTATTTTGGACAGGTTGGTGATCAAGGAAAGAACTCAAAGAACAAGCAATGTGGTCTGAGGCCCCAGTGTCCAAAATCCAAACAGAATTCAAGCTAGTAGTACCCAACTCGAGGTGAGTGGAAAGGATGTACTTACCAGCATGATTGGGGTGCTTAGGGAGATACTGAGAGACAGAGAAAGCCTTGTGATTGATACTGGGTGAACCAGGGGAGCTAGGACCAGCAGCCACACCAAATTGCAGAAGAGATTTGAGTTTGGTAATGTCATCAAGGGAGAGACCAGTGAGAGACTGGGAAGGGCTGGAACTACCATCAGACTGGCTGTGAGTATCAGGAGATGCCCCATCATGAGCAACAGATGCTATTAGTCCAGCTTCTCTATCCTTCTCTTTGCGTTTCAACTTAAAGCAATCCTTAATCTCATGGCCAACTCGCTTGCAATAACGACATGTCACTCGATCAGAATCATTGTCAGGCTTGTCAAATCGAGGACGAGGTCTGTCTCGGCCAGCAGCAAGAGCAACAGACTGAGACCCCTTTGAACTGACAGAATCACCTTTGAGTTTCTGTTCGTGTTGTAACAAATCATTCAAGGCCACAGAAACAGTGGGTAAAGGCTTCATAAGCAGCAATTGGGTTTTAACAACCTCAAACTCTTTGTTAACACCCCGGAGAAAGCGAATGAGGTAATCAGTTTCCTGCTTAGTACGAAAAGCAGCAACAGCAGCACAATCAATATTACTTCCAGGAGCACAAGCACAGGGAACAATGGGAGAAAA